CCTTAACAAGACTCCAAAGCACTAGAAATAAAATAAAATATCAATAAATGGGGTGGTATCAAACTAAAAATCTTCTTCAATCAAGTGCATGAATGGAGAGAGTCTACAGAATGAGAGAATATCTTTGACATCTGCACCTCAGTCAGATGGTAGGAGGGTTAATTTTCAGGATATACAAAGAACTCAAAAAACTTAACACCAAAATAATAATAATAACAACAACAACAATAATAATAACAACAAACAATCACCCAATCAATAAGTGGGTAAAGGAACCGAACAGGCACTTCACAGAAGAAGAAATACAAATGTTAACAAATATATGGAAAAATGTTCAATATCTCTAGCAATTAGAGAAATGCAAATTAAAACTACACTGAGATTTCATGTCACTCCAGTCAGAATGACAATTATTGAGAATACAAGTAACAATAAATGTGAGGATGTCGGGGAAAGGTTCACCCATACATTATTGGTGAGACTGCAAATTGGGGAAAACACTTTGGAAGCTAGGATGGTGATTCCTCAAATACCTAGGAGTGGAACCACCATTTGACCCAGTTCTCCCACTCCTCGGCATATACCCAAAGGATTTAAAATCGGCATCTACAGTGACACATCCACGTTAATGTTTATAGCAGCTCAATTCACAATAGCTAAGCTATGGAGCTGGCCTAGGTGCCCTTCAACAGATGAATAGGTAAAGAAAATGTGGTATATATACACAATGGAGATTACTCAGCCATTAAGAAGAGTGAGATTATGGCATATGCCAGGAACTGGATGGATCTGGAGATTATCATGCTAAATCAAATAAGCCAATCCCCCCAAACCAAAGATCAAATGTTTTCATTGATATGTGGAAGCTAATCCACAGGCGGGGAGGGGAAGACTAGCAATTCAGAAGATTAACAACGTGAATGGAGGGAAGGGAGAGGGATGGGAAAAGAAAGTCAGTGGAATGAATCTGACCTAATTTTCCTATGTGTACATATATGAAAACACCACAGTGAATCCTACCATCACGTGTATCCACAAGAATGGGTTCCTAATTAGAACAAGATACATTTCATGCTTGTATATTTATATCAAAACAGATTCTACTGTCATATATAACTAAAAGGAACAACAACAACAACAACAAAAAATGTTTAGTTTCAAGTCATAGGTGTGAAAGTGCCAGCGGACTCAGCGCATGACTTGACCGGCAGAGCAAAAGTGCTTGATCCCGGTGTTTCTGGGCCAGCTCCACAAGACGGAGCCTGTCCTGGGGAAGGGGCGTTGTGTGTGCGCTCCACAGGGCCAAACCTTCACTTTATGACTCTGAAAGTCTGGCAGTTATTCTTGTCTGCCCAGCACGCCTGTGAGTGTGCATTCTTAGAGTTCTAGAATATTTGAGAGCCTCATTCTTCAAAGTGAGTCTGCGTTTAGTTCCACAGCCAAGTAAAGCAACCCAACCAGGTGGCAAAACTCCAGGCTATGACTGCTGTGGGCAGGGGAGGCCGACCGGGCTGTTCCATCCCTGGCTTGGCCTGTGAAACGAGAGCACATGTGTTTGCTTATTTAATAGAGTTTCTGTCGGGCCAAATTCCTGTAACCACGAAATACGACCTGGGAATCCGCACAGTATTTGAGGGTAGATGTTGCCAGCAATAGATGCTGAGTCACGTGGCTCCCTGGGTGAGTCCTAGGATAAACCCTGGAGGTTGCTGTAGTGACATCTAGCCAGTTTCACTCTTCCCAGTGACCCACATGCCTACTTCAAGGTCATCATGTGCACCACATCCTGATTGTGGAGGTTGGAAGCTCCAGGCGTCCCCAGTCTATAGAAGAAAGCTTGACCTGAAGATATCGCCTGCGTCCATAGAGGACATGCCGAGCTGACAGCAAGGTGAATGCTCTCATGATTAGGGTTGTGTGTGTATGTGTTTCATTCATTGAGAGTAAAACTAATTTAGCCCAGCTTGGTGGTACATGCCAGCAGGTCTGGAGGCTGAGGCAGGAGGATAGCGAGTTCAAAGTCAGCCTCAGCAACTTAGCAAGGCCCTAAGCAACTCAGTGAGACCTGTCTCTAAATAAAATACAAAACAGGGCTGGGGATGTGGCTCAGTGGTTGGGTGCCCTTGAGTTCAATCCCTGGTGTCAAACAAACAAAACAACAAACAAACAAACAAAACTAATTTCAATGGGCCAGTGCTTACATCTATTGGTCTCAGAACCATACATTAGTCCAGAATTGCATTTGCCCTGCCCTGGAAGCGATCCCACCTGAGAGCACACCTGTATGGAAACACACATATAAAACAGAACTGTTACAGAAGCAGTACCATGGGACAGACGGGATAATTATAAGTCCTTGACCCTCATCCTCTCATGCTTAGTCTAACGTAAGACAATTGGATGGAAAGGGTGTGTGTACGTATGGATTGCATTTCAGAAGACAAAATAAATCCAAATAAAAATAAGCAAGCCCTGATGAGGTTCGTTTATACAGCCATCACCAGCCCTGCAGAGGTGTCACGTAAGCACCACGGGCCCTGTGGAGCACGCACACACAATGCACTTGTACTTTCCAAAGGTCTTTCAATCCAGGAAACCTGATCCACAAGAAAGGGAGGCTGGGCCTCACCTGTTCTGCCTGAGGCTTCACAGACTGTAAACTGCGCCATCAGGCGGGAGTTTGCCACAGCCCCTCGCCTGGTTCCCTGTCTTAGACCTTCTGAGATTTCATTTAATAGGTATCATCCTTGAGCACCAAGTGTTCAGGACTCAGTCCCTGCCCCACAAATTCTTTATTGCCCATGGCACTCAAAGCGACAGTGCCACATCCAGGCACAATAGGGACTGCATGCTTCCAACTGTGGGCGCAGGAGGACTGGCAGGGTTAGTCTGAGGGTCCTCACTGGCTGAGAGGATGGCTATGCTGGGAAAAAGCAAAATTTCTTAAGCAAGTTCCCCGGGAGGACTCAGAGAGGAGGTCTGAGGAGCCAAGGAAGGAAGGCGCATGCTCGGGCACCTGGGACCATCCCAGAGAGATGGGGAGAAGCCGCCAGGGCCTTCTAGGGCCTTCTTCCCTGTGTGCAGCTGGCAGGAGGAGGAGCAGAGTCCCTGGGCTCTCCCTGAGCGTTGCCATGGGAACAGCGGGCTGGGAGGTGTGCTGCATCTATTTCTATGGCTCCTATCACCATGGCACCTACTTGCTCTGAAAAACACAGCTAAAAACAGAACGCGAAGAAGAGGGGGACAGCACTCCCTGCAGTCACCTTCAGCAGTGGTTCTCATACCTTGTGATTGCTCACGCCGGCCTTTTCCGTTCGGAGGGTCCATGTTTTTGCTGTCTGTGACCTTAAAAAACAAGGGGTTCACTATTCACATCAGCGCCACTGTGATGGTGAGGTGGCTTAGGTTCCAGAAAGTTCCCACTGGATTTGCTGCAGGGAGACGTTTCTCAAATGAGCTCACACAGGAAGTGGCTTGTTCAGGGCCCCACGTCAGGCGATTTGGGGACAGGGAAGAAGTAGGGAGTGAAGGAGAGGGACCGTGGTGTCCACGGGCACAGATGACTCAAGAAAAGGCCTGTGCTGATTCACCAAGGAGGGTCGGGAGTTTTCCTGGGAACACACTGGAAACTCACTCCCCAGAGAGATCCACAGGCCAAATCCCTTCCCTGAAAGTCTTCCTGAAATTATCAACTATGCTTCCTAATAAAGCACTCAGCTCGTCTCCACAGTCAGACAGAACTTGACTTCAATCCTGACTTGGCCACTTGCTCGCCACGTGAGATCTGTGGGGCCCTCGAAAGCCAAAGGGTGCGCCCCTCCCAGGGACACACTGCTTCCTGTGACCTCGGCCTTCCTGGTCCTCCCTTGGTTTTCTCATCTATAAAACAGAGATAATAATAGCAGCTGTCTCTGGTGGTGGCTCTGCGGTGGCATCAGGAGGGAAGACACACGAAGCCCCTGGGATGTGGCAAATGCTCAGTAACTGCTGGAGACGCGGCTGTGAGGAGGACAGCAGTGACAGCTGGGCCCACAGGGTGCTCAGGGGCTGCCGGTCATGTTCCCCCAGGCCTGACTTCCTGTCCTCCGTCTTGGGGTGGCAGCGACACGGGGCCTAGTGTACAAGTAGCCCCCTGCCTTCGGACTCTCACACTCATTGGTGTCCCTGGGCATAAGGCTTTGAAGTGGGTGATTCCGTGGGGAGGGTCATCAGCCTAAGCACTTGAGTGACCCAGAGGACAAAGGACATGTCCTGGGGGAAAATCCCAACATGGTGACCTGCCTGCGGCTTTGGAGTCAACAGCTCTGGCTGAGGGCTCTGTCCTCCCTCTGCCTACTTGTCATGTGGCTCTGAACAAGTCACTTGACTTCTTTTTCCTTCCCCGTGAAGCGGGGCGAATGGCTGGTCGGAGCTGGAAGGGAACCTGGGAGAGAGGTTCTCTCGCGCAGCCGCACACGGGGCTCTCAGGACTGCAGGCTCATCTAGTCCCCACCACCGCAGCAGAAGGCAGAGCGAAGGCTCCACGTGATGAAGATTAGCCTCACTAACAGGAGGAGACAGGCCCATCTCCTGAACGGGCATTAAACTCCCAGGGTCACACCAAGCCAGGCCCAGAGCCAGGACGGCCTCTTCAGTGCCCCCAGGGCCCTCTCACAGGCTCCATTTCTCACTCTCATGCCACACAGTCGGTGGGCTGCTCTCATCCATAGCTCACACCTTCGCTGTTGAGGTCATCACGGCTGTCTCCCCGCCTAGCCCTGCTCCCATCAGAACTCCCACCTCCACAGGGAGATCCCTGTGCTCCCAAGGGACCGAACTCCACTCAAAGAACAGCCCTGCACAGGTGTTATGACTTAATCTAAGCCAGGTAGCTAATTCTGTCGCTCTGCACACGGGGATTGACAGATGTGACCTGAGGTGTTCCAATCCGAATGACTCTCAGGACTCTTCCCAGTCGTGGGGGATGAGAGACGAGCCTGGGGCTGGTCCAGCTATCTTACCGTGATGAGCAAAGCCAGCGCCATAAACCGGCACACAGAGGAGCCTCAGCTGAAAGAACTCAGCTGGGGCTGTGGTGGCATTCTGAACGTCTGGACAGGACCACAGCCCAAACTTGCCCTACCTTTGATTTTCTTAGTTCTATGAATCAACAGATTCTATTTCTGTTTAAATGGATTTAAGTTGGCTTTTCTGTAAAGTCAGGTTGGCAGTGGCTGGAACGCTGCTTCCTCTCTGCAGGTTGAGAGTCTTCACCACCTTCAAGCTCAATCCCAAGGTCAGTTTGTATCGGGGTGCACTCATGCTTTGAGTCGGATCCTTGCTTAACTTAAATCCTATATGTTTCCTCCTTTTTCTTCCTCTCCTTCTCTCGCTGCAGGACAGCCAAGCCGGGGAAGCAGGAGTAACATTTTCCCCTCCTAGGCAGAGCTATTGTGTCCTTGGGCGCCCTGAGCATGAGAATGAAGAAATCCAGACCTGGGAGCTGGTGCCAATGGGTTTGAGGACTGAACTATCTCAAGGACACCATCTGGACATGAACGATGTCTCCTGATCGGTGCCCTCAGAACCTCGACCCTGAATTTCTCTTTAAAAAACTCTTTGCTCCTCCTTGCAGTCAGGAGAGTAGCCTTGCGACCTTCCTCTACTTCTCATTTTCGAGCAAACCAAAACTTCATTTTCTTTTTTTTCTCAAAAATCTTGTCCTCATTATTTGGATGGGAGCCAGGGACAAGGACCAGCCTTTCGGTATTAAGTTCTTGAAGGGACTTCTGTTCCTTCACTTAATTCTTTCTTCTTGTACTTCAGAATCCCTATGTGCCATTTATGGAGTGAACCTCTTCCTAACAATAAAACCCACTGAGATTGGTAGTGTCTCCGTTTGTCCAGTGAGAACACTGAGACCCCAAAATGTGGGAAATCATTTCCTCTAGGTCAGAACTGAAAAACAGACCCTTTTGACATATAAGGGATTAATAAGCTTTGATTTCTCTTAAAGGATTAAGTTATTGCATTTCTTCAGAACGAGGCTGGTTTTTCTTCCTATTTTGCCATCTATGCTAGTTACTTTTGTTGTTATTTTCAGTGCTGGGGATTAAACCTGGGGCCTTGCGCATGTGAGGCAAGTACTATACCGCTGAGCCACATCCTCAGCCCCCATGGTAGTTACTTGATAAGCATTTGTTCCTAAATGATAGATGGAACTTCCTGCATCCAGAAACATCCTGTCCCAGGAGCCTGAAGCTGCTCAAAGTTCTGCTGAGTACTTTAAGAAGCACCAGGCACCAGGCTAAGCACTTGAAATATGTAATCTCTTTTTCAAAAATGGTTCATTGTACTTACAAAGGCCAGTGGCTTTTTTGCCAGAGCCTACAAATGGAACCTGTTGGGATTGGGAGTGGGGGAGCTATACAGAGGAACAAACGCAGAGGGCAGCATGTGTCTGGGTGGGAAGGGCAAGGCCTTGGGTTAACTCTTGATTCTCTTATTACCTGGGAGTTTGGGAAAGTTCCTTTGTGTGTGTGTATGGTTTTTTTTTTTTTTTAATCTCAATTTTGTCAAATAAAGATACAGTCCCAATACCTCCGAGTTGTTGGGAGAGTACATCATGTTACTCAAACAACCCAGAACAAAACCTGGCGCCATCTTGCTCTTTGTCCACTATATTTCTCCTTTGCTGAGCAAGATCATGACTGGTCCTCACAGGAGCAGTATGCGTCCCCCCTGCTCTGTGGATGATGGCCAACCCTTCCCAGGAACCAAAGCAAGATACAGAGGTTCAAGAAAACATTGGCCACCAGATGGGAAGAAGTTTCCATCCCATTCCTTGCCAAACATAGATCTGCTGCTGGGAAGCCAGAGCATGCCAAGAAACGACTGTAGCCCAGACCACTTTGTTTCATTGCAAATTCATTGTGTTTAGATTATGACTAAACCATTTCTCTTTTGTCTCTGCCCAGCAACCATGAGCACTTGTAGATCTGACAGCCTGCCTGAGCATCAAGTCTTACTGATTTTACAAAGGGAAAGGGATTTTTCCAAGGGTTCAGTATGCGTTTTCAATTGAGGTATGAAATTGTTCCTCAGAACAGCTAAATTTGCCCTAGATTTGGGGTATTGTCATATCATCAGTATGTATTTGCTCAGGGATCTGTCAGAAAAGGAAAACGACAGATTTGACTGAACGGTACTTCTCTGAGACTGAGGTGGGGGCAGAGAGGCCTGAAGGGCAGGAAGACATAAGATATCTTTGCATTTTATCGCCCTCTTCTAATCACCCCTGCTAATCACCTCTGCAAGAAGGGGGTAAGCCCAGCTTTTGGTTCCATCCCAGAGTGAGGTTTCTGTTGTTAACTGGTTTCATCCTTCTTCAGGAAGCTGAGAGGTGGTGTTCTCAAAGTGTGGCTCTCCAGGACACCTTAATCAGAATCCCAGAGTGTTTAAAATGTTTAAAATCCTCATTTCTGCCTTCATCCCATTCCTGCTGAAGTAGCCTGCAAATTATTGGGAATCTTAACCGCATATGGTGGTGCATGCCTGTAATCCCAGCTACTCAGAAGGCTTAGGCAGGAGGATCACAAGTTCAAGGCCAGCCTGGGCAACTTAGACTCTGTCTCAAAATTAAATTAAATGGTCTGGGGATGTAGCTTAGTGGTAGAGCATTTGTCTAACCTGTGCCAGGCCCTGGGTCCAATCCCCAGTACCACAAAAAAACTAAAACCAAACCAAAACAAACAAACCCTACAAGCTTAGATAAGTATGGATTGAACTCCGGACTCCAGCTCTGCTACTTTTGCTTGTAGACTTGGGACAGGTTATTTAATCTCTCAATTTTATCAACTGTGCAAAGAGAATGCTGAGCAGTCAAGGGATATGGAGCATGTGTGCTTGTTATAAGGAAGAAATGAAATCAATGTTCAGCAACGTTTGGCACATAGTCAACGCTCAATGTGCGGGGGAAGGAGAAAACTTTCCCTCCATGCTCTAATGGCTCAATAAAACTGACAACAGACAGATTAACAGGAGCAAAGATACACAAATTTATTATGTGCACATGTATAGGAGTCTCAACAATAAGAGATTCAAAGAGTGGCCAGATGATGGAATATTATAAATGTTCTGAACTACAAAAGGGAAAAGGGGGGGCTGGGGTGTGGCTCACCTAGCATGTGTGAGGCACTGGGTTCAATCCTCTGCAACACATAAATAAAATAAAATAAAGGTATTGTGTCCATCTACAAATAATTAAAAAAAAACTAAATAAATAAAATACAAAACAGGGCTGGGGATGTGGCTCAGTGGCGGGGGGCGAGATGAAAGGTAGAAGTTCATGATGAACAAATGGTGTCCTGATAGGAAGAGATAGTTTCTCTCAAGTGATAAGCAGCCCTCACATTAGGCTCTGGCCCATGACAAAGTCTGGGCATCCACCTTCAGCCTTCTCCTGGGTGCATTAATCTTCCCTTGATTCCTGGGTTCCTTTTGGAGGATCTTCCTTTGAGCAGATAAGGGAACTTAGGGAAAGTCTCTCCCTGCATAATGCAGCGGGGGAGGGGGTTGTGGAGCAGAGGGGCAAGAGACAGTGACGGGGAACAGACAGAAGTGAGCAGTGGGAGCCTGGGGTTGAGGGGATGATTCTATAAACCAGGCCTACTGGGCTGACGCCTACCAGCTTTCTTTTAAAAATACATTTACCTGGGTCCCTGCCTGGCCTAAGTCAATAGATAAGTTACATTCCTCAGCAAACAGAACATTATCTGCCTGCCGGAGAAATGCAGTCACTAAAGTCTCCTCCCTGCTGATAAGAAGAATGCAAGCTACCCTGAGGAGTGGACTTTGTGACCTTTACACAGACCAGACTCCAGGGGTCAGGGAGACAGGATAATTAGAAGAAGCAAAGCCCCCTACCCACAAAATCTGTAAGAACAAGTTCCAATTAGACCTGATTAGCACGGGATAAAGTGACCTAGAGTTGCTTGGATCTTTAGCATGTCATTATAATAGTATAGTCTCCTTTCCATGGGAGAAGACCACAGGCAGCAGAGACTTGAAATTCTGATGAAATCCTGCTGTCAGTCAAAGTCAAGAGGTGGACCCGAGAGGGACTCTGTGGCAGCTTCTCTGGGACCCCCAATAAAACAGGAGGGCAGGAGGGGCATGCCACTGTTCTTCTCTCTGAGAGGATCTACTCTTTCCTTTGAGAGTGTCCTCTTTCACTCTTTTCCTAGACCTTCTAACTAACTCATGGCTGCTATTCTATGTGACATGTCCGAAATCTTTCCAGCATGATTGCAAGAACGAGTACCCCAGGACCACCCGGTTGCCTTGGCTCCACAGTGGGCTCTTGTTCTGAAACAACAGGGGCACAGGAGAAGGTCAGAGACAGCTTGGCTCTTCTTTAGTTCAAAACACTTAGTATGCCAGGGTGACTACTTTCGGGCTATCACCTTCTGAGCCCCAATAAATATATGATCACTCTTCTTTTTATATAACACCTACGCTCAAAAAAATCTTAGGACCCTACAAGATATACTTGATAAACATGGCCATCGCGGCCAGCGCCAAGATTCTTCTGTATTACCCACTGCTACAGATTTTGACAAATTTACAGACCCAGCAACCAGAACTGAGGTTTCATGAGCCATACGAATTCCACCAGGGTTCACATGTGATCCTCAACAGTAGGCCAGCCAGAGAGGGCAGCAGGAGAATAGCCACAGCTATTCTCATCCCGAGGCCCAGGTGTTGTAGGCAATTGCTGCAGTGTGTCCAGGTTGTCACTCATTTCAAAAGACTCCAAACTTGAGGGAGAGGTATGGCAGCATGGGTTACTAGTGGGTGGTGGCTGTTTGTCAGCCTCTTGGTTTGTATGGATTATTCACTGTGAGAAACATGCTCATCTACCAGCCTCAAAGAATGGGCTCAGAGACACCACGGACAGGAAAAAAAAAAAAAAAGCAAGACTTTAATAACAGCCTTTCAAGATCGGGTGCCTGGTAGTCAGGGGTCCCCAGAACGGTTACAATCA